ATACCCTCTTGTTGTATATTTAAGTCTGTCAACATCAGTGATTGTACTAGACACTGACCTAAACAAATATAAATGATAGTATTTTTACTATTTTTCAATTGTAGAGACAAAATTTCAACCGCTATCAAAAATAAATATAGAGAAATAGGGTCACCCTGTCAACATCCACGTTGTACTTCAAAAACCGAAGAAAAATTCCAACTTTTTGCGTTATGATATAAAATATGTATCTTCCATCAATGAGTCACCAAAATTGAAATATTGTAAAAAATAAAACTCCATTCTATCAAATCAATGTTTTAAATCCACGAATAAAAACAACCCGGAAAAACGTTTTCCTTCTAACTCGTGCATTGTATCGTACAATAATTTCATATTTTCCCCCAATAAATCTACCTTTCATAAATCCTTTTTGTGTATTACTTATAACAGATGGAATTAATCTTTTAATACCATTAGCTATTGCAACAGAAGTTATTTTGTAGTCTGTCTTGAGTAGAGTTAAAGGTCTCCAGGTTTTAATTAATCGCCGGTCTTTACACTTTTTTTTGGTATACAAGTTATGGTTCCTTGTTTTCGAAATTCTGACAATGTTCAATCATTCTAAGCATAGTTCACTGATTTACAAAGTATTTTAAACATTTCAAGGAAAATGTATAAAATTCACTATCAAACCCATCTGATCCCGGACTTTACTCATTTTCCATGTTACATAAAGCTTACTACATTCATCAATTGTACTAAGACCTTCACAACTATCTTTCTTCTGATGTAATTGTTTACTTTGATTAAAATGAGGAAATGAGTTTTTACAGTTCTTTCTACATTTGTAAAGTTGCTTGAAGAATTGTCTCTATTTCCCTACTATTTCTATCCGTACGAATCAATTCCTTTAAAAGTTTTATTGGTAAAGATTTGTTTTTCAAGATTACAAAAAAAAAAAAAAAATCAAAAAAAATCTGACCCACCCTTTTTTCATACCATGTAGCCTTCAATTTAATGACAGTCCCTTCAATTCTGTCTTTTCTTAAATCTGATAATATTTTAATTTCTTTTTCCAAATCTACTGTATGCGAACAGAACTATCACATTCCCTCTCAAATAGTGATAACCAGCTTATTCCTGAACTTGGTTCTCTCCGAAGTTCATGACTTCGATCGTTTCTTCTTGGAGAAAGCAGATCGTAAATGTAATTAGGAAATATTTTAAAAAGAAGCTTATATAAAATGTAAAGTTTATATTTTTCTCTCCTAAATTTTAGAGTTACTCCTCCCGTTTCGAGATAAAGAGCGTCACCCTCTCCAAGGCATTTGGCAGTTCACCAGAACCACTCCACACGCATGACACGTATTCGAGGGACGGTCTAACGAAAGATATAGTATGTAATGTTTTTATGCTTCCTTTGAATTTCAATTGTTTTAAGACGGTTACTTTAGAAGAAGCAGATTTGATGATTTGTTGGATATGGTCATGCCATTTGCAACTACTACTAAAAAGATTCTCTAAGACGGCGGTAAAAATCAGTGAAAGGAAGAGGTTCGCTGTTTCAAGTAAGATTTGGTTTGATATCAAGTGTTCTAGAAGAGAAAAGAACTACTTTTGTCTTTACCGGGTTAAATTATATTAACCACCGGTCAGACCCACCCTGTAAACATTTAATATCATGATTAAGGTTTTGTTTAATAAGTCAAGTGAAAATTCTTGAAGGGGGAGTCATCGGCAAAGAGTCTAGTGAACGTTTGCCCAGGATTAACAAGGTCATTCATGTAAAATAGAAATAGTAAGGGGCCAAGAATCGATCCCTGTGGTACAGCAGCAGTTATATTCCAAAAAATATGTCATTTCCATACAACGGTTTGTCAAGTAGCTAGTGAACCAAGAAACTAAATTACCCCATTACCATACAAACGAAGTTTGAATAACAACCCTTTATGCCACACTTCGTCAAATGCCTTATATAAACTTTATTTATTTTACAACAATTGCGAAACAAGTTTGAATAACAAGCGCCTTTATGCCACACTTCAGGTCAAATGCCTTGATAAGATCACCGAACACAACACATGAATATACCTTCCTGTCCACAGCAGAAACAATAGTATGAAATAACTCAATTAATTGATAAACTGTCAAATGACCTGGTAGAAATCCAGCTTGATATTTATGAAATATATCATTATTATCTCTTACAAAATTGCATACATATTTGAAAATGCATCTTTTTATTACTTTAGAAACACAACTTTATAGCGACGTAAGTCAACAGGTCACCGGAAGATGATAGTCACCTTTCTTAGATAGTGGTTAACCGTGTGCTTTATTCCATTCCAGGAAAAGAACGCTCGCGGATAGAACGATATAAAAAAAACATAGCAAGGGGAGAAGAAATAGACCTTACTGTGGCTAATAGCATGTGGGGACTAATTTTGTCGGGTCCTACAGCTTTTCCAATATCAAGAACCGGTAAAATACCGAAAACATCAGTTTCACTTGTAACGGTATCACATAAAGAATTCGCACATTTCAAGAAGTCAGGTAAACTTACACTCGTCAATACTAGAGACGGAAGAAAAACTGGGTCGTTAAGTACTTCGGGCTTTTCTTGGTCATTATATGCAACTTTTGGAATCCCAGATTCAACATAAGTGAGAGTAGATAGTAACGTTTGATGAAGGGTCATTAAACTTTTCCATATTTTCCAGAAAGTGTGGATTTGCATTCCATGAGTTGTAAATATTCGACTCGACATCGACCTTGAAATCGCCAAAAAGAACTATTTCTGAACTATATTCAAAAACAGAATTTTAGGAAAGACTTGCTTTGTAGACTTATTACCTTAATTCCTTGTTCAGGTTAGACTATGCGCAAATTCAATGCATATTTTATGAGACTGCTGTGACTTGATGCACTCTTCGCTGAATGCTTTCCGCATGTTATCTTTTGAAGGAGTAAATTAATCATGATGAGACTTGCTTGGTAGATTTGTAACCTAAACCCCTTGTTCAAGTTGAACAAATTCTGCACATATCTAATGAGGTTGCTGTGACCTCATTGGCCGATATCTTTTCTTATTTTCTTTTGACCACCGTAACTTTGAAAGTGGATCAAAGACATCCATATCGACAAACCTTGTAGCCTTTTATCCTAACATGTTACTGGCGAAAAATCAGCAGTCTGGTCCTTTTGGTTATTGAGAAATGTTTTGAAGTCTTAATCAAACTCAACCCGTTTTTCTCTCTCTAAATTTCACTTGACCACCGTGACCTTTAACGTGCGTCAAGGTCAATCATATTAACAAACCTTTTGTAGCACTTCATACCAACATTATCCAGGTCAAATATCAGTAGACTGGGCTTTTTGGTTTTTGGGAAGAAGTCGTTTTAAAGTCAAAATGGCGTACCATGTTAACGGTAAATGTAACAAACTGAAGACTTCATCAGAATGGAATACTGTGTCAACTACTGTTTTCTCAAAACCGTTGTAAAATAAAAAGTTGAAAAATTCATGACCTTTGACCGTATAGCAAGCTTTGTAGTTTGACCTTCTAGGTATTTACGAGCCCATTATATTTAGCCCCGGATATTTTCTACCATAGTAACATTTCAGAAAAGCCATACAGTAATACTTTTGAGTTATGGCTGTTTTATGCTTTTTGACATATGATATATCTGCCATATTTGAAATAATGTTTTTCGAAGTAAAATATCAGTGCAAACATATAGACCATGTCTTAAAAGACTATAAGATATCTTTTACCGATTCGGACGTCACAAAATCATGGAAGAAATATTATAATATTAATAAGAAACAGAACAAGAACAGTAGGTCTTTTCACCAATTGGTTAAAAAACCCTAATAAACTCCAAAAGGTTTGAATCTCCAAAATCTTTTTAGAAGTCTAATGTTCGATGTTATGATTTGTTTTCCTGATAGTAACTTTCTTGCCATTTGACTATTAGATGCCGTATTGTGTTTTATTAATTGATATAAGCCATTCCACCGTTTTGATGGTATAGAATCATTGATTGATCCAGCATCACTGAAATGAAGTGACAGATATTCTATCATTACCAATGGGTAAAAGATGGGAATATAAAGGTATGATTAGCTGATTTTACTATTCACAGTATTATGCTACTAAATAGTTATTATATTGATCACTTTCAAGGGAACTTTAACCTGAACATAAACAATATATGATTTCAATATTTCAGTTTTCCATGTTACTCTCTTTAAAAATATCTATTTTACAACTGTTTGTGGGCAGCAGATCTTGACGACTATGTCCTTGTTTTAATAGAAACCAAGGGACGACTCAAGGGTTATGAAGCCCGGTAGCATTGTTTCTTGAGCACTGATGAGGCATTTTCTGTAGGTATTTCCTGCCAGAATTACTATATTCCAAAGTTATACTGTGGTACCACAGTGACTTCTTCTTCAGTCCTCTGAAAATTAACAAAGTTACAGATGTGGGCTAGCCATATCAGCCAATCACGGTTGAGTCAATGGTGTGCATTTCAGATAAATCCCAATATCTTTGAAACGGAACTAACTATGACATTCACACTTTCCTGGTCTTTTATTGTATAAAATGAAGTATTTTATAGCTAAATATAGGGAAACACTCGGGAACACTTTTAAGTGGCAAGCTAACAAAGGAATTGGCAAACACCAAGTCTTCCTAACACTTCAGTAAAAACTGGCCTTATATGTTCTATTAAAATTTTCAATAGATTTCATGGTATCAAAGGTGTGAAGAGAAAAGGATAATTTTTCAGGAAAATCAGGAAATAGACCTATTTATTTCCATGAATTTTATTTTCCTTGGTAGAAATATTTTGCAATATTTAATCTTCCAAAACAGCATCAATAAGAACCCCTTCAAAGGAATAACCTTTACAGTATTGTTATGTTAGCCATTATAGACTGCTAGCTGTTACTCTTAGAGTGGTATCAAAAATGATTGTGGGCTGAAATTATTGCAAATGACAAATACAAAATTCATAAATTCATTGTTTTATTTCACAGCTGAAATAAGCTTTCATCTTCCCTATCATCTAATACAATGTATACAGAAAAATCTCAACCAAGAATTAAAATGTACCATCTTCCCTATCATCTAATACAATGTATATAGAAAAATCTCAACCAAGAATTAAAATGTAACATATCCTTATTAATTTTTCCTCATCACTGTGACCAGACAATTCCCTTGCTCTAAGATCGAAAACATCCAATTTGAATATTGAAATAAGACTTTCTAAAGACAACAAACAATCATCATGTAGTGAATTGAACAAAATGGTCTGAAATTCATATTGCCTTCTGCTTTTGAAATTCCAAGAAAACAAAATATTCACATTTAACTGAATTGAGAACTTCTAAATGTATTACACATGATCATGCCATCCTGTGAGGATTACTAAAACACCAAATGAATTCGCACAAGTCTGAAAATGCAGTGGAAAATGCACAAAATTGAGGCCACCCCATAAGTTTACGAAAACAACTTATACTGCTATCATTACAAATATCAGCTTCTGATTGAAGTAGTGTACTAGTTACATATCAACACAAATACACAACAAACATCAAGATTATGACAACACATTGTATACACAATTTTACTCTAACATATACCTGACTGGTACATTGTGTACATTCTTGAGATTCTAAATGTATTTCATGAAAGTATTCCAAGATTCTGTCCAGATTGTAATTATACCTATGCTATCTGTCTTTGTAATTCTGAATTATCTGCCCTTGAGAGCAGGTATTGAATGTTTCATCATTAGTTTGCAAATGAAAATTGTTTGGGTTTTTCTACATCTCTGATGGTAATGAGATAACTTTGTATTAGGATAAGATGGAACAGAAGTAGAAAACTTCCAATTGCCTATAGGGCAATTCTTTTTATAAATCAGTTAATAACATATAACAATAAAAAGCTGTTCAATATGATCCTCACGGGTGTTTGTTCAGCTGATATCTAGGGAAAAGAGTACACCTATACAGAACCAGAAGATCATCGTATCCACATCCATCATACACATATATAGTCCACCTCAAATCCTCAGGAACAGCACCATGGGAAAAGAATTCATCAGACAGCAGCTCTCCTGTGTCAAACCTCATTTACTTAGTCTCAACATCTCTACTAATATGCACGCACATTCTGGCAGTCCAAATTTATGACTAGTCTCAAAGTCCCAATAAAAAGCTGGCTTCATTGGTTCTATGTAAGGATACCTTGCTGGTCTTCTTAGGACAAACATCATTGGTTTTCTGTAAGCATTAGCCTCATTGGTCCACTAAAAGGACTGGTCTCCGTGGAGTCCTTTTGATAAGGCTAGCCACGTCACAATTACAGAAGGGTCTATCCTTACATTTGTGACAAAGGACAGCATAATGTTTGTGATTAACATTTACACCATTACAACACAATCTGTAGCCACAAGACTACTCAGGATTCCTCATGCTCTAGATTGTCCCCTGCCTTATCCGCCTCCTCAGTCAGATCACCATTATTATTTTCTACTACCACTTCCTTGTCTTTGGCTTTAGATTTCTTCTTGGGCTTATCAGGCTTTTCAATCTTCTCAATATCAGAGTAAGGGGCAGGGGAGCCAACTCCAGGTGAATGTTGTTCATCCATGTCATCATCTGAAAGGGACAATATAGATCGGAGTCAAGAGCAGATGTCCTCCTCACAAATAAAAATAATAATGAAAAACCAATATTGATACCTTCAATACATGTTAGCTCAATCAACAGATGTTACTTAAAAAAAAAAACATGTCATTGTGATGACCACACTTACAAATCATTATTTTACAAAATATCAAAATTATTCCAAATTAGCACTTTAATAACACAAAACTGGTAGAAACAGGAGATAAATAATTGTACACAGAAGGCATGGTTGTCAGGTCTTGTCAAAGTCAGCAAAATTTTTAGAGTCCTTTCTATATAGTCATTTAAACTTTTACAGCTTTCAAACAAATTTGTCTCAGGTCATTCATAATCTAACTGTCCAAGGTCAATCGTGTCAACAGCACAGTACTTTTAATTGCATTGTATATTTAAAAAGTTAAAGAATGAAAAGGTGAAGTCAGCAAAATCAGGGTGATGAATTAGGGCAAAGGATGAGGCAGGGCAGATGAAATGAAGGGTTTTGCAGGGTAGACACATAGACAGGTGGTCAAGATGTTAGGTAGGTCATAGTAGAAAAATAAGAAAATGAAAATCTAAAACTGTTTTATAATGCAATATTTCATCCGACTTAACCAGACTTATAGGATTAACAATCGAAGATGATGAAAAATTCAGATTCAGGATTAAGGTGAGAAATTAATATCATAAGGTTAAGTGGCAAATGTTGAAGTGTGTCAACAGGTTAGGAGAGACAGGGGTCAAAATTGTCACTAAACAGATTAGGAGGAGTAGACTGACAAGGATAACAAAGTAACTTAAGATATTAGGAGGAGCAAAGGTAGTAATAATCACTAAACAGATCAAGAGGTGTTACAAGGGTTGCAATATTCACTAAACAGATTAGGAGAAGTGACAAAGGTAGTAATAATCACTTAACAGATCAAGAGGTGTGACAAGGGTTGCAACAGTCACTAAACAGATCAGGAGAAGTGACAAAGGTAGTAATAATCACTTAACAGATCAAGAGGTGTGACAAGGGTTGCAACAGTCACTAAACAGATTAGGAGTAAGTGACAAAGGTAGTAATAATCACTTAACAGATCAAGAGGTGTGACAAGGGTTGCAACAGTCACTAAACAGATCAGGAGAAGTGACAAAGGTAGTAATAATCACTTAACAGATCAAGAGGTGTGACAAGGGTTGCAATAGTCACTAAAAAGATCAGGGGAAGTGACAAAGGTAGTAGTAGTCACTGACCTGATCAGGAGAAGTGATTAAGGTAGCAACAGTTTGATGTGACAAGGGTAAGAATAGTCACTTAACAGGTGTGGTGTGACAAGGGTAGCAATAGTGACTTAACAGATCAGTAGTTAACAGATAATAAGGGGCAAGATTGCACTTAAGACATACAAGTGAACAGCACCTTTACATACAGTTAGAGGTAGATATAGTTGAGACAAATAATGTTTTAAACTGCATCATACATGTATTACATCCTTCTAGGACTCATCAGTGAAGCTATGGGCCTAAATATTGAAACCTAGGTGCCAACTGAGGACAATCTAAAGTAATGGAAAGAAAAATCAAATCTTTATGGGGAGGTGCACTAGCCCCTAAATTCAATACATTTCATAATTTCCATACATCCAATATTTCTCCCCCCGCCCCCCACCCACACCAAGTACATGTTTATATTTTGATCCCTGCCACTATTTGAATGAAATAAAAATGTGTCATGAAGGTTAAAGCAAACAAAGTGAAAGGGAAGCTTTGGTCATTGAACAGGTCAGAAGTGACTAAGTAGCTGTAGTCACTTTATGGGTTTGGTTTCTGGGATGACAAGGGCATTAACAGGTCAGGAGTGACTAAGTAGCTGTAATCACTTTGTGTGTTTGGTTTCTGGGATGACAAGGGCATTAACAGGTCAGGAGTGACGAAGTAGCTGTAGTCACTTTATGGGTTTCGTTACTGGGGTGACAAGGGCATTAACAGGTCAGGAGTGACTAAGTAGCTGTAGTCACTTTATGGGTTTCGTTACTGGGGTGACAAGGGCATTAACAGGTCAGGAGTGACTAAGTAGCTGTAGTCATTTTATGGGTTTGGTTTCTGGGATGACAAGGGAATTAACAGGTCAGGAGTGACTAAGTAGCTGTAGTCACTTTATGGGTTTGGTTTCTGGGATGACAAGGGCATTAACAGGTCAGGAGTGACTAAGTAGCTGTAGTCACTTTATGGGTTTGGTTTCTGGGATGACAAGGGCATTAACAGGTCAGGAGTGACTAAGTAGCTGTAATCACTTTGTGTGTTTGGTTTCTGGGATGACAAGGGCATTAACAGGTCAGGAGTGACTAAGTAGCTGTAATCACTTTGTGTGTTTGGTTTCTGGGATGACAAGGGCATTAACAGGTCAGGAGTGACTAAGTAGCTGTAGTCACTTTATGGGTTTGGTTTCTGGGATGACAAGGGCATTAACAGGTCAGGAGTGACTAAGTAGCTGTAATCACTTTATGGGTTTGGTTTCTGGGATGACAAGGGCATTAACAGGTCAGAAGTGACTAAGCAGCTGTAGCCATGGGTTTGGTTTCAGGAGTAACAAGGGTATATGTAGACATTTAACAGGTCTAGAATGTCTAGGGTAGCTATAGTCATTAAACGAAGTGACAAGGGTAGCAAAAGTCACTTAACAGAACAGGAAAAGTAACAAGGATAGTAATAGTTTCTTTACGGGTTTGGTTTCAGGAGTGACAAGGGTAGCTATATCACTTAACAGGTCTGAAGTGACCAGGATAGCTATAGTTAATTGAGGATTTAAAAAAAATTCAGGAGTGTCTAGGGCATTTCCAAAGGTAGCTATAGTCTTTAAAAGATTTGGAGTGAAAAAGGGTAGTAGTGCTCACATCAACAAACTAGGAGAAGTAACAATTGAAGCAATCATCACTTAACTGATCATCTGGATTGAAAACAGTAGCAATAGTCACTGAACAGATCAGGAGGAGTGACAACAGTCGCAATAGTCACTGAACAGATCAGGAGGAGTGACAGCAGTAGCAATAGTCACTGAACAGATCAGGAGGAGTGACAACAGTCGCAATAGTCACTGAACAGATCAGGAGGAGTGACAACAGTAGCAATAGTCACTGAACCGTTCAGGAGGAGTGACAGCAGTAGCAATAGTCACTGAACAGATCAGGAGGAGTGACAACAGTAGCAATAGTCACTGAACAACTCGGGAGGAGTGACAGCAGTAGCAATAGTCACTGAACCGTTCAGGAGGAGTGACAACAGTCGCAATAGTCACTGAACAACTCAGGAGGAGTGACAACAGTCGCAATAGTCACTGAACAACTCAGGAGGAGTGACAACAGTCGCAATAGTCACTGAACAACTCAGGAGGAGTGACAACAGTAGCAATTGTCACTGAACAGATCAGGAGGAGTGACAACAGTCGCAATAGTCACTGAACAGTTCAGGAGGAGTGACAACAGTCGCAATAGTCACTGAACAGATCAGGAGTGACAACAGTCGCAATTGTCACTGAACAGATCAGAAGGAGTGACAACAGTCGCAATAGTCACTGAACAGATCAGGAGGAGTGACAGCAGTCGCAATTGTCACTGAACAACTCAGGAGGAGTGACAACAGTCGCAATTGTCACTGAACAGATCAGGAGGAGTGACAACAGTCGCAATTGTCACTGAACAGATCAGGAGGAGTGACAACAGTCGCAATAGTCACTGAACAACTCAGGAGGAGTGACAACAGTAGCAATAGTCACTGAACAGATCAGGAGGAGTGACAACAGTAGCAATAGTCACTGAACAGATCAGGAGGAGTGACAACAGTCGCAATTGTCACTGAACAACTCAGGAGGAGTGACAACAGTCGCAATTGTCACTGAACCGTTCAGGAGGAGTGACAACAGTTGCAATTGTCACTGAACCGTTCAGGAGGAGTGACAACAGTCGCAATTGTCACTGAACAGATCAGGAGGAGTGACAACAGTCGCAATTGTCACTGAACAGATCAGGAGGAGTGACAACAGTCGCAATTGTCACTGAACTGATCAGGGGGAGTGACAAGGGTAGCAATGTTCACTTAACAGATCAGGGGAAAGACAAGGGTAGCAATGTTCACTAAACAGTTCAGGGGAGAGACAAAGGTAGCAATGTTCACTAAACAGATCAGGAGGAGTGACAAAAGTACCAATGTTCACCTACCAGATCACAGAAGGAGTAACAAGGGCAGCAATAGTCACTTAACAGATCAAGAGGAACAACAAATGTAGCTGCAGTCCCTTTATGGCTTTTGTTTCAGGAGTGCTAAGGGTCGATATATCAATTAATAGGTCTGGAGTGACTAGGGTACCTAGAGTCAAGTGAGGGTTTTTATTTCTTGAGTGACGGGGCATATATAGTCACTTAATATGTCTGGGATGACAAGGGTAGCAATAGTCACTTAGCAGATCAAGAAGAGCGACAAAGGTAGCAATAGTCACTTAGCAGGTCAAGAAGAGTGACAAAGGTAGCAAGTCACTAAGCAGGCCTGGTGTAACAAAGGTTGCCATTTTTCTGTAATGGTATCTTTACACATCTGGAGGTACAAGGAAAGACTTGGATAAAAATCTTGTTGATTGCTTACTGACTGACAAGCCAGGGACATAAATATAGGTATACCAGAAAAATAAGAATAATGAAAAGGTGGAAAGTCACTTGATGTCACAGTCACTAGGTGGTGGAAATAATCTACATAGAAAAAAGGTGTTAGTAGATAAAACACTGCAATGAGTTATATGTTTGTTTCTCCTTTTATAATATCCAACATAGATGGGAAGAAAGTGTCTGATAGATGTACTGTGGTAATAAGTAGCGTGCTCGACAAAAGCAACATTTTCTGCTGCCATAGTGATGTGAAGGAAGGCCTGAAACTAATGGAATGTGAAGAACTATTTACATCCTGTTGTGCTTTCTAAATAAATGCTCCGCCAAAATCACATTATTGTTGTTACATCA